GAGTGTAAAGAGTAGATAGATAGACAATGACAGAAAGAGGAGTGATAGTGTAACCGTTTTCGGCAGAACAGATGTCTTTATGATGAGTTCGTATCTTGGTGCGGAGAATGGCAAGGCTCACTGATAATGCTGACTACGATGCCGGCGAAAGGTTTGAAGATGTATCAAGTCTACTTCCAGATGCTAGGAATCATGACATCTATTATGGCAGACGACTTCGGACTAGGTGCGTTCTACATAGTCGACCTGACAACAAGACCAAGTTGCGACTAGCTCAACCCACTTCTATAAATCGAAAGGAGACTGCGACCATAACAGAGACCACCTCTTGGTCTTCCTATATTCTTTTAAATGGATAAGGCCTGATTTATTATGTTATTAGCTGTTTTCAGGACAAATGAAAGAGCGAAAGTCATAAGAATTTCATGCCACAATTTTAATAAGCCGGTAAAGGCTTAAAATGGTATTTGTCTAGAAACCCTTAAATTGGTAATAATGACCAACCGACCAATCACATTTGTGGTAGTTGCCTGGCCAACTAGGTGATACATCTTGAAAAAAATCCCACAAATAAAAATACGTCTAGTTATGTCATCAGAGCCCGAGCCACTGTACAAAAGTTCAAGGTTAAAAAAGCCAGAGTTAGAGTTCGAAGCATTGCAGTTGACACCGATCGCATAGAGAAGAGGTCACATCAAGGAAAGACTCAAGCCGTTCTAAAAACCTGAAATTATGACGCCATGGGAGGACAACGGTACTCCATAATGAGAGGATGCAGTCCCGGAATCCAAGCAACAAGGAACGAGCTTCCGGTTGGTCGATATGTCCCAAGAGGAAGAAGGGTGCGTCAAGGTGCCTTACTCAGAGAATATACATACAAACAGGATGATGAATCCTGTGTTGGTCTGATATCGCAGGACAGCTCAGGTAGTCAGCATCTGATCCGACAACTGACCAATGATCGCTGCTATGAGAATGGAAGAAGATAAATTGCTTAGTGGATGTATTTATGGAATCGGATAGGTGAAGTTCCTTGCATAGTGTGGCATAATGACGGGGCTAAAGAAGCTGAAGTATGAGGAAATCCGAATCGGTTGGCCAGTGGCCTTCGAGACTAGAAACAATAGACAGTGCATAATTAGGCAGAAGAGAGATGAAGAGATTACATGAAGAAGGTAAGGAGATCAGAGAGGGGGATAGATGAGATGAGACAGATACAGTGAGATATCAGAAGAGGTAGAAAGAAGGCAAAGTATTGAATAGAAATGGGCAAGTAGGCCAAAACTAACGGATTGGATGAGAAGGGTTTACGTCAAGAAACTCGATCGTACAGGTACTGAAAAGCAAAATCTGTGCAGTTGAGGGAGAGATGGTGGAGGCAACTACTGCAGAGGCGTTGGCAACAACGCTCCTAAAAAGCCTCGTATTATAGTAAAAAATAAAGAGAAACACATCACCTTAACATCTGGGGAGATGGGTCGGTGGCAGAGGAGTGTAAATTAAATAAGCATGCATTTGGGGTGGGATAGGGTAGAGAAGAGGAGCCGTATGAGGCCAAATCCAGCAGAATTCAGGAGTCTGCAAGAAGGCCACTGTCAGATCGGATTAAGAATGTGAACGACCTGCGCAAGCGTTGAAAGAACACAAAGAGTTCGCGCATGCCAGGGTTCGTGATCCTCGGCTTGTATGCTGCTTGACTGTAAATCAGCCTGCTACGATAACGAAAAAATAAGACTGAATACAATTTTACATCTGTTTGTTGCCATACCTAACAGTCACGTTGTTGTGGTGCCTGCAGGTTAGAATGGAGATTAAGTTGTTAGTGAAAAGAGGGTTTATAGGGATATACACACATATGCTTACATAAGAGAATGGCAGGAGAAAGCTATGCTTATAATTGCTACGCGATGCCTAGCCATACATATATATTTGAGGGTCTTGGTCTACAGGGGACATGGAAGTGTCCAAGAGGAAGACGAGCGGATTCTATAGTATAGGAATGCCAAATGTCGAGAGTAGAAACATTTTGAAAGAACCTGTAGAAGGAAGATAATTGAAGTTTTTTACAGTTTTACATATGGAGTGGAGGGATGAAAACAGAGATAGATAGGAAAAAAGGTAAAGTAAGGATAAAATAAGTGACTCATTAATATTAGAGAATCAACAAGGAAAGAAGCTAAAGGTAGTCGGACGATCACAAGTCACAGCAATCAACAGACCGAAATAAGTGTTAAAAATGCCTGCGAATGGAGTAAATGATAAGGGAACATATAGTTGCCATAAGGCTCTATGTCTGCCCAACTGACCTATGAGATCTCGAGAAGACGAAGTAGAGAAGGTAACAAAGTGATAGAATGGCAAAACATTGGATGGAGCGATAGGTAAGTAAATGCATTTTTCGTGTAGAAAAAAGCCTGCCCACGACATGTCGACAGGATTGGAAGATACCTGTGGAAGAAGAGGAGATAAGCCTCTTTAGCTATTGCAATTAAAGTAATGATGCACTCGAGCAGAGAGAGAGAGAAGAAGAATAAGAGATAGATAGATAGAGAGAGAGAGAGAGAGAATCAGGGCTACAAGAGACAAGACCAACTGCTTTCCACAGGCGTCTCCAGGTGAAAGCCAGCCATTCCAAGGCCTGCGATGTTCCGTGGTCGAAACCGAGGCACAGCTCGCGGTTCGGTCCGCGGAATCCGTCTTGAGAGGACAGGCGTCATACGCGATAACTCATCACGACCGCGAGGTGGAACTAGGCCAAGCTCCTCTTCATGGGCAAGACTCGAATAAAGTGGGCAGGGCCGTGAGCAGAAGGGACGCTGACCGACTGAACGTCTGTTCAGATGGAGGAGAAGGGAGACAGAAGAAGGAGAGAATGAATAGACAGAAGAAGCAGCCGATGAAGAGGCGAATGAGGTGGCTCCAACATGTGAGTGGCCCGGGAAGGCATCGCTGTGAACTCCTGCTCGGGAAGATGAGGTGTAGTGGTGTCGGACTGTGGGAATAAACATGCCCGAGTTGGGATTGAGCTGGTTGGAGCCGAAAGCGTTTTTTGCTAATGAGATTGGGTAAGAAATGAGACAAGACAAATGAAGATTAGTCAGCAACAAAAAATAGAATTCATTGAATCAACCAAGTTCGTCATCCTAAACAGAGATAAAGCCTCCGTTAGTGCAAAAGAATCCGAGTATGAGAGACAATCTGTCAGTACAGGCGACACGAAGTGGAAGAAGCAATTTTGGTGAACATTTTCGTGTCTGAACCACAAAGTAGGTGTGCAAAAACTCTAAATCAGTTGACCTTCGAAATAAATACAAACTGAGTCACTACCAGATTGGCGCCATGGAAAGGAAGTACCAAATTACAGTTAAACCTTCCTGCACAGTGAATGCAACTCTGTCATGGTCCCTAAAGTTTACAATTGAAGAACGGAATCATACAACCTCGTAGTTGCTAGGATGGATCCAAGAGAATTCTATAAGTACACAGGAGTGCAGAATCAGCATAAAGCAAGTTGGCGCCAAAGTTATCAAAAAATCTCGGCTGGGACTAAAGTATACCATCGGTAAGAACGATTGAATATCTGAGTTATTCACGAAAAAATGAAACGGTATGCTTTTAAACTTTTTACAAACCGGCCACATCGAACTCGATAAAAAACAATTGCTTCTTCACATCGTAGGTAACTTGGCCTACAAGAGCATGCTCATGAGAGGAATCCTGAAAAAGGTCTCGCATACAGCGCTCTATACGATAGATTGATGTATTTTCGATGTCGAAAGGTTTATTCAGCTTTGTAGTAGGTGTTGTCGGCCTGTTGTTATCTGGTAGAGTTGTGGATAAGTGCTTCCCATAGCAGATGTTCTTCCGACAGAGTATAGAGACAATGAAAAAGTAAGTGACCATAAAAATAGAGTGAAACTATACAGAAATGCCTCGCTATCATCACTTTCCAGAACATATGCCTAGTTGATAAAACAGGATGGGTATAAATAACGAACAATAAAAATATCATCAGCGTAAAAATTCATATTAATTACATTAACTTGATAGGAAAAGCATGTCAGAATTCCCGAATAAAGTGATTAAATGCAATTAAGATGTTTCGGATTTCTAAAGGCTCTGTCATGAATGGAAAGAACACTAAGCCGAATGCTATTTCTAAGAACACACACAATAACTTAGGCTTAAATATCGACGACTAGAAAATGCGGCTCTAGATAGGGAAAGAAGACTAAGCAAAAATACATGCTAAGGAGATACATAAAGATGTATGATAACAGACATGTATACCTATATCCACCCAAACCAGTAAAAAATCTAAATGTAAACGCTTTGATTATTATTGTTGAGCTTACTTTAATTTTGAGTAAAAGTTTTGGGTGAAAAGATTCGAAGGTCAGTTCCACCAGAAGACGACGGCTGATTCCTCTTGACCAGCTGTCGATTGGCTTTACCTAAATATTCATGCTGACGCTGTTTCCGAGGCAATCTTCTTCGATTCCGGTGAAAACATACGTTACTTTTTGCTGTACTAATTACTTTGAGCCATCACTGCGGGTTTATTGCACAAGCGAACACAAACAGGCACATACAGATACAGAGATAGACACACTCACAGGCTTCGAAGTTTACATATGACCGTAACTAACCAAATAACTTTATACTTGATCAAAAAGATGTAGAGTATATATATACCACTTTTTAGGGATTTGCCGGTGAGTTTTCTTGACTCGTTAGCTTGAATTTGTTTGTAACGATGATACCTTGCTCTAATGATATTCGTCATATGACAGACAAAAGCTTAGCACCTTTTGACCGGAATCGAAGGAGATGACCTCGGAAACAGCGTCAACATGAATCTTGCAT